CTTTTAGTTTAATTATTAGTCTAAGATTAAAATACTGTTAATAAATAAAATTTAATTTAAATATAGTAAATAATTTAGTATTAAAATTTATTAATAAAAAAAAATCTTTATCTAAAATTATATTCTAAGATAATTTAAACTAAAATTTAATTTTTTTATAAAAAAGTTCAGCAAGTTCTGGAGCAGTTATAATATATAAAATAAATAAAAATTAATATTATTTTATAAATTTATTAATAATAATAAAAATTAAATTTAAAATATTATTTTTTATTATAATAAAAAGCAGATTTATAATAAAATCTATAAATAATTCGATAAAAAATCAGCTAAAAATTAGTAATAATTTAAACTTATTATATAATTTATATTTAATAAATATAACTTTTTAATATATGAAATATTTTCTAATATAAATGATTATATTTTTGTAGAGATTTATTTAATAGAATTTTTTTTTAAAAAGAACTTTTATTTTTAATTATCTAAAATAACTTATTAGCTGATTATTATAATAAAAATTTAATATATATTACTAAAAATTTTATTCTATAAAAATATATAAGCGGTGTTTATATATAATAAAATTATTTTTATTAATTTTCTAATATTTTAATATAAAATTATTTTTTAAAATAGTAAGTTTTTAATAATATATTTTTATATCTTTATTTTAAATTCTTTTGATTAAAAAATATAATTTTTTATTAATTTTAAAATAAAATAAGTTTTTATTTTTATATATTTAGAATACTGTTAATATATTAATATATTTATTATAAAATAAGCTTATTCTAATAGTTTTAGAATATAATAAATTTTTATATTTATATACTTAGAATACTGCTAATATATTAATATAAAAATTATAAAATATTTTTATTTTAATAATCTAATTAACTATTTTTATACTAGTTTAATTATATTTAGATTCTAATAAATTTAATATATACTAATAAATATAAAATTTAAAGTTTTTTTATAAAAATATTTTATTATATTCTAGCTAAAAATTTTTTAAAATTAGTTATAATTTTATAAAAGATTTATTAGCTATTTAATATTATATTAATTTTAAAATCTTTATATTAAATAAAATTTTTAAGTTTTTTTTTATTTTTAATAATAAATTAGTAGAATTATATTTACTAAACTAATATTAAATAATAAAGTTATAATTATTAAAATATATATATTATTAAATCTAACAGCTGTTCAGCTTCGGCTATTTTATAAAAATCTAAAAATTTTAATAATCTAAAAAAATTTTAATAATATATAATAATTCTTTAAGATATTAATATTAATATTTAAATAAATAAATAATAATAAAAAGCTTCTAATCTAAAATTAAATAATAAGTTTTAATATTATTAAACTTCTTTAATTAGAATATAATAAAATAATATATTTTATAGTTATTTAGCTAGAATAATATTTTTATTATATTTTATTAAAAAATATTTATTTTTATTCGGATCTTCTATTAAAAGTTAAAATATTTTAATAAAAATATAGTTTTAAAACTATAAAAAAGCTATTAAAATATTATTATTTTTTACTAGTTAATATTACTTTTCTAGACTTTTTTTATTTTAGATATCTTTTAAAAAAGAGGTTAATAGTAATATAATTAAAAAATAATTTTTAATAAAATATTAATAAAAATTATAAAATTTTAAGAATATTTAAATCTTATAATGTATAATTAGTATTAATTATATAAAAATATTAGATATTTATTAGAAATCTATTAATATACTATATAAAAATATAATATATTTTAAAAATTTAATATAATTTTAATAAAAAATATATTTTAATAGCTTAATATAAAAATCTGTTTTTTATAAGTATTCTAATACTTAATATAAATAAAAAGTATAAAAAAAACAGTTTTTTAAAAAAATAAAAATATTATTTAAATAAATAATATAAAATACATTCAATATATTGTAGAAAACTAAATAAATATAGTTTTAAAATATAACTAAAATATTAATTAATCTAAAAAATATAATTAAATATTTAAAATATTTATAATAAATTTAAAAAACTATTTTTTATTTGTCTTTTTATTTAATATAAATTTAGTAATATATATTTTAAATATTTAGTTTAAAGAAATATTTAGCTTTTATAATTCTATTTAAAATTTCTAAAATTAAAAATAAAAAACAATAATTTTTAACTAAAATCTTATTAAATTTTTTATAATTTATATATAATTAAAGATCTTTATTCTTTTTTAATATAAAAAAAATAAAAATTTTTATAAAACTTTTAGAAGATCTAATTTATTTTAATTAAATATTTTTATTAATATAATAATAAAGGAATTAGAGCTTAACTTAAAATTAAAAATAAATAAATCTATATAATAAAATTTTATTTTTTTTTAGATTAATAGTATAATCCGAGGATTTATAAAAAAATTATTAAAAATAATTAAAAAAAATATATCTATAAAATTTTAGAATTTAAAAAATAATATAATCTTATTAAATTTAATTTATAAATAATTTAAAAAGATTTTATTTTTTAGTAGCTAGATATTCTCTAGAAATTTAATAATAATATAAATATAAATAAGATTTTAGTAAGTTTTTATAAATTTATAAAAAAATAAAATTTTTAATATTTAAATTTTATATTATTATTATTAATTTTATAAAGATAAATAAATATATAGATTTTTTAAAATAGTTATTAAAAGTAAAATAAAATTTTTAAAAAGATTTAGATTATAATATCACGGATAACTTTCAACACCCCAGCAGGCCGCCTACAAGTCCCTTACATCTTCCCCATGTAATAATCATAACATTAATAATTCTAATCCTCTTTAGTATTTAACTCCCAGAACCTTGCTAGATCTTCGGATAGTAAAAATTAGTCTTAAAATTAATAGACTACTACTATTCTATATCTAACTAATTTTTTTTTTTTACAATTCTAATCCTTCTTTTTTAGTTATTTATAGAATACAGTATATTACCGTAATTCTTATATTCTAATAGCAGTTTTAAGTCGGAAACTTCTTCTACTGCTAATAATTTATTATTTTTACTACTAGATTCTTCGGTAGAAAATCTTACTATAGTCAGAAATATTATTAGTCGGCTATAAGATTACCAGCAGTTAAAAAAATAAATTACCGAACTATAATAAAAAATCTAATATAATAATATTAAATTAGTATTAACTTAGTAACAAAAAACTTTTTCTTCTTTAAATAAATCTAAAATAAATATTAAAATTAAAGATATTCCGCAATTCGAACTTTTCTTTAATATTTAAAAACACTAGAAATAATTTTATAATTTAGATTATAATTTTTAAAAAATATTATCTAAGTTTTATAATAACTATTATAAGATTCTCGAGGCTATAAGCTATATAAGCGTAATTTGTCGGCAGAAATAATACTATTATTTTAAAAAATTACTACTAAAATAAAAAAAAAATATTAGCTATTTATAATCTATTTTTATTAAATAGATATTTTTTCTTATCTGAAATACTACTATTTTTAAACCTAATATAATAAGCCAGCTAGAGCAAGCTCGGCAGTAAAATAATTAAAATTTTTATGAATTTTATATCTATTTTAATACTTTAAAACAATATTTTTCTAAAGCTACTAAAAAAAAATACAGCTATACTTTCTTTATAAAATTACTTTCTAATTTTAGTTATTATATTAAAGAATATATATACCAACTGCCTAAAGAATAAGACGAGATAGTATTTCTTACTATTTATTATTAGAATTTATATATATAAAAATAAAAATATAAACAAAGACCTAACAGGTCCAATATATTATAAAAATAATTATAATTTTATAAAAATACTCAACTTTTTAATTCTAAAACTAATTATTCTAATCCAGTCAGAAAAGTTTTATAATATTTTTTATATAATAATATTAAGTATCTCACCAACCGATATTCTTAAAAGAAAAAAAAATCAGCTTGAATTTAAAAACTGCAAGCTAGAAAAAGTAATATAAAAAAATAAAGTAGACTAAAACCAACTTTCCTATCTTGGTTTTATATTATAAAGTAAAAACAGCCGATAAAATATTAATACTAATATAAATATCTAATATTAGAAAAATCTATACAGACATTAATAGTTATACGGTATATAATCTAATTAATATTAGATTTATATAATAATATTTTTTTTTAAAATTCTAAAAATTTTTATTATAGCTTAAAGCTATTAACTATACCTCTATTATTAGCTATAAAATATAAAATATTTTTTTAGATATTATTAATTTAAAAAAAATATAATAGTATTTTATTAAACTATATATTATTATTATTTAAAATATTCTAATCTTATTTTTTATAACTACTCTGCTCGACTACAAAATTTATTTATCTTTCTAAAATAAATAATAGTAGTTTAAATTTAGTTAAATTTAGGAATTAAATTTTTAAAAATTTATTAAGACTTGCCGAAATTACGCCTGTGTTTATATAATTATTAAAGTTTTAGAGAAACTATAACTTTCAAGTAATAATAAAAAATCAGAATATTATTAAAATAATTTTATTCTACTAAAACTAATTAAATTTACCGATATTTTTTCTTTTAATCAATCTAAAATTTTTTCTAAATATTATAATAAAAATTATACTATCGATCTTCTCGAAGGCGAATTATTCTTATTTAGATTTATTTACTCTTTCTTGAAAAGAGAATTTTTAGTACTTAAAGATTATATTAACAAAAATACTACTAATAAAAAAATATATTTATCTAAAAGTTTTACAGAGGCCTTTATTCTCTTTATATTTAAAAAAAATAAAAGTTTGCGGCTATATATAGATTATTATAAATTTAATAAAGTTATAATAAAGAATTAATATTTATTATTTTTAATCTTTGAAATTCTTAACTAATTAGCTGAATATAAATACTTTAGTAAAATTAATATCTAGAACGTCTATTATCACATTTATATTAAAAAAAAAAATAAATAAAAGACTGTATTTCGTATATATTATAGTTATTTTAAATATATAATAATACTGTTTAGCTTAACTAATATATTTACTTCTTTTCAAAATTATATATACTCTGTATTATATAATATTCTCGATATTGTTTATATTGTGTATTTAGATAATATTCTTATCTTCTTGATAATAAGATATAAATATATTAAATATATTAAAAAAGTACTAGTATAACTATAAGAAGCTAATTTATATATTAAACTATTTAAATATTTCTTTCTTTAGTAATAAGTTAAATTTTTTAAATATATTATTTTTTCTATAAATATTACAATAAATCTTAACCAAATTAAAACTATTATTTTGTGGCTGTTATCTACTATTTATTATAATATTTAAATCTTCTTAAGATTTTGCAACTTTTACTGCAGATTTATTTGTAACTTCTCTTTACTAGTACTATTTTTAATAAATCTTTTAAAGAAAAATTAAAATAGCAAGAAACTAAAAATATATTATTTAGTTCTAAATAAAAAACTGGTATTTCGCCGATTTATTAACATATTCCAAATTATTTTTTTTTTTGTTTTTTTAATCTAATTTAATCTATTCGGATCGAAACCGACGCCTATAATAAAGAAATAGTAGATATTTTAATCTAACCGGAACTAATAAAATAATACTATATAGTTGCTATTTAGTCAAGAAAATTTTTAAATATAAAACTTAACTGAAGTATTCCGGATTAAGAATTTTTTGCTATTATTTACTTTTTTAAATATTAATATTAATATCTCGATAGGATTTAGTATTTTATTAAAGTTCTATCTAACCATACAAATCTTAGATTATTTATAAATTAATCCCGGCTTAATAAATATTAAGTATATTAGTATATGATTTTAGCTTTTTTTAACTTTATAATTAAATATTAATTAGATAAAAATAATCCTGCTAATATTTTATCTAAACTATTTAAGCCAGTAAAAAGTTTTTATAATAATAATATTATATAGATATTTTATAACTAGTTAGTATTTATTTTAGTAGTATCTAAGATCTCGGTAATAATTAAAATTAGAAAATTCTAGTTTAAATATAGTAAAATACTTTTATAGAAAAGACCTAAATCTAATATTTATATAGTATTAAGTAGGCCTATAGGTGCTGCCGGTATAGAATTAGCTGACTAAACTATAGTTTATATAATAAACTGTAAATAATCCGCCAGTATTATAGCTACAAAAAATATAAATAAAGCTGAAAAGATTTATAAATCTGTTTGTAATAATAATCTAAAAAATTTAATTAAAACTCTTTAAAATTAAGATTCTAAATTCTAGAAAAAAAAAAATAAATTATCTAAATATTAAAAAATTATAATAGATAGATTATTATATTTTAAAAATAGATTTTATATACTAGAGGCAAAAGGCCTATATTAAGAGTTACTATAATAATACTATAATAATCTGTTAACAGGTTACTTTAGACAAAATAAAACTAAATAACTTCTCCGCAGAAAATTCTATTAGATTAGTCTTTAAAATAATATAAAAGATTATATAATAATATACCTTATCTGCTAATATCAAACTGCAGCTAAATATTAACTATATAAAAAACTCGAAAGTTTACTAATTTTATTAAGACTATAAACCGAAATTACTATAAATTTTATTATAAAACTACCCGAACTATACTACCAGGGTTATTAAATAAATTTAATATTAATAATTATTAATTATTTTATAAAAATAAACTGTTTTATAGCGGTATTATATATAATTTAAGTAGAAAAACTAGCCAAACTATTTTATTAAAAAATCAAACTAAAATATAAAACTTTTTATAGTATAGTTATAAACAGAAGCTCTATATTTATAAATTAATTTTAATCCGATTTTTACTACTAAATTAAAATTAAAAAATAGTTATTAACTGTATTTTATTCGTAAACCGATGGCTAAATAAAAAAAACTAATTAAGTTCTTAAATGTTATTTATACTACTTTATAACCGAATATTAAAACTACTAGATAAATTTATTAAATAAAATAAAATTTATATATAATAATTATCCGAATATTTCTACAAAAATAATTTTTTTTAAAGTTTTAATAGATTATTCTTCTAAGTTTAGACTTTGAATTGAGAATAATCCTATAAAAGTAGAAATATTATTAATATCAGAAAGACTAAAAAAGCTAAATACTTTATAAAAAAAACTAAAAAAAAACTGGCAGAAAATAAATAAAAATTAATTAACTTACTATAATAGCCGTCGCGGCACTCTATCTTTCGAATGAGATAATAAAATAGTTTATATTTTTAAATAAAAAGATTTAGTTAAGCTATCTACTATAAATATTAAATTTAAAAAAACCTCTTAAAAATTAGTCTTAAAATTTGTGGGGCTTTTTAGAATTTTAAAAGCTGTAGAAAAACAAGTATTTTATTTATATTTTTTTAATAAATATGCTTGGTTGTATAATATCTTCTATATTACTTTACTAAAATCTTAAAAAGTCAGAAAAAACATCCCCGAAACTTTACTAATACTAAACCTAGACGATAATAAAAAATAAAAAATAGAATAAATATTAGATAGCCTATATTACTATAAAAAACAGTTCTATTTAGTTAAATAGCAAGAATAGTTCTTAAAATATAATTAATAACTATCTGCAAACAACTTAACAAATATTTAATAAAAAATTTATTAGTTTAAAAAATAAACCGCAGTATTACAAGGCTTAAAACCGGTGTATAAATAAAATAATAACAAAACATCTTTAATACAAATGTGTATATAACAGTTACTAAAATTATAACAAAGCAGATATAGTAAAGTTGTATAATATATTAGTATTATTTATATCTACAAGTTTAAACTTAGTAGTTATAAAAATATTAAACCCAGACTATATTCAACGGAATAAAAATAAGCGGTACTATAACAGTACAAAAATATTAAAATATACTAGAAATACTAGTAAAATAATCCTACTATAAACTATAAATAATAGCCACCGGAAAAGAGTTGCGGAGCTTTTAAATAAAATATTTCTTATTTTTCTACTTATTAGTATACAAACGCGTTATCTTCTAAATAATATCGTCTAAAAATATTAAAATTGCGAGTTGCTAGAGTAAATAATCTGTATTATTAAAAAAAAAATAAAAATACTCGAAGTTCTTATTTATATATACAGTAAAAATATAATACTTAATAATAAAACTATAATATACAGCAGTGTATTTTTACTAAAATATTAGTAAATTCTTACCGGAATAAGCTAGCTACTTACTATTATTACTTTTTTAGTTGCAGTAGAAATATAATACTTAACTTTATAAATCTTCTCCGTGTCAGTAAACTTTACTGTAAGTATAATAATAAAGTTACTAATAAATATATAAAATACTAGATTCCAGATACTTTTCTGCTTAGTATTTTAAAAATATACAGCCCAGCGCAGAATCTTTGTTAAATCGGATATATTTTTCAGTATTTTTATTGCTGTCTAACTAATAATTAATCGCGTCCAAATAATAGAATAGAGAACCTATCGGAATATAATTAGATTTCCGCGCGGTATACTGCCGGTATTTTACTAAAAAAATAGTATTAAAATAGTAGTTAGGCTTAAACTATATACTAAACCCCGTAATATAGTTCTTAACCAAAGTTCTGAGGTATTTCAGGCAGAATATAATAATAGAGCAGAAAAAAGCCTCTACTAAGAAACAGTAAACAGACCCCGGAGGTATTTTAATTTATTAACAAAACTACAGCTATCTATTAGTATCTTGGCAGTATTAAAATATAAATTTATATTTATTATCCCGACAGTCGAAATAAGACAGAAATTAATATTTAACAACGCCGAAATGCGAGTAAAATACAGATAAAGCAAAATAGCAATAGTAAGATTAAAGAATAATAAAGAAGTTTATAAAATATAATCATACTGTTGTTATTATATACAAAAAAATATTATATTCCTAAAATAGAATAATACCGACTCGGAAAATACTAGTCTAGACTTAACCTAATCCCGCAGCAGTACTGCTTTCTGCTACTGTTTATATTAAATTAGTTAAAGTAGCGGGTAAGATAGTAGTATTACACCGCCTATATACTGCTGAGAACAGCTGTATAAAAAAAAAAGCCTAATTATTATAAATAACTTTTAATATTCTAGTAGGCCGTCTATAAGTTCCTCACGTCTTCCCTACGTAACAGTTATAATATTAATAACTCCAACCCTCTTTAGTATTTAACTCCCAGAACCTTGCTAGACCTTCGGATAGCAAGGATTAGTCTTAAAATCAATAGACTGCTACTATTCTATATCTAACTGACCTTTTCCCTTTACATATAATTAATAGCTATATAATATCTTATAAATAATTATATAATTTATCTTAAATTAGTAGTAATAATAAGAATTTTTTATATATTATAAATATTTATAATAAAATAATTAATTATAATAACTAGTAAAATTGTAAGACAGGCTATATTTAAATAAAATTATTAAATAAATTAATAATTAATAAAATTAATTTTAATATATAAATCTAAGTTTATATAGATTTTAAATATATTTTTAAAATAAATAAATATATTAAAATAAATAGCAGTTTCTATTTTAGACTAGTTTATTAAAAATATAAAAAAATTTTTAATTATTATTCTTTTTTTATTAGTTCTAGTTTAGTTTTATTTTTATTTTTATAAGAATATTAGTTGGCTAAATAATATTTATTATTATATTTATAATAATAAAAGATTTTTTTTCTTTAATTTCTTTTATTTTAAAAAAATTTAAATAAAAAAAACTTAGTATTAGACTACAAAAATCCGGATTCTTTAAAAATCTTATTTAAATAATATTTTTAGTTTTCTAAATTTTATTTTCTCTTTTAATTTAATATATTTTAATAATAAATAATAATAGATACTATTTTCTTTTAAAAATCCGGTAATTTTAATATATATTTATAAATATATTAACTAAATTCTGATACCAGCTTTAAAAAAAAGATTAATATATATTTATTATTTTATTTAGATTTAAAGTAATATTTTAAAATATTTAAATAAAAATAAAATTTTTTTAGATTTTAATTAATTTACTAATAGGTTTATTTAAGCTATTTTATAATATTAAATTATAAAATAACTATATTTTAAATAAAAAAAAAGTTTATTAAATAAAATAATCCTATAATTTTTTAGTATTTCGGTAGTTTTCCGGAGATTTTTTATTAATATATTAGTATTATTTTTATTTATAAATAAAGTCTAAATAGCTAACTACAGCTAGGATTTTTTAATTCTTTATTTAATACTTTTAAAAGATTTTTTTAAAAATATATAATAAATTAGAAATCTATTTTATTTTTTATTATAAACTAAACTAAAGAAAAAAAATAAAGATTTTCTTAAATTTAATTTCTTTTTTTTATTTAAAAGATAAGATTAAGCTAGTATAGTATTATTATAATTTTATTAAAAATTTAATATCTTTATATTCTGTTTATAATACTTAAATCTATTTTTTTAATTATTTTAACTATTTTAATTAATAAATAATAGTTTATACTTTTTGAATATCTGTTTAAATTATATAATATAATTTAAAAATAAATAAAATATCTTAAAATAATTTTAATAAAGATTTATTAGATAATATATTATTTTTTTTAAATAATTAAAAGTAAAAAAAATTAGAAATTATTAAAAATTATTTAATACAGTAAATATACTGGTTAGATAAAATAAATAAAATAATTAAAAATAATTTTTTATTAATTTTAAAATTAATTTTTAAAAAATCTTTTTTTCTAAAAAATCTCAGAATAATATATTATATAAAAAAAAGAAATAAATAATATAATAATATAAGTATCCGGATTAAAATTCTAATAAATCTGTATTGATCCCGAAGCGGCTGCTATAGTAGTAGATATAGGCTGCTATAGCAGTAGGTATTGTATAACAGATTTAAAGAAGAAAAAGAAGTTTAAGATTGAGAACATTAAAAATAAACAGACTTTTAATAATAAACAGTATTTTCTAGTTAAATAAATAGACTAGCTAAATAAATATAATAAATAAATCCTAGAAAAATTTATAAATAATATTTAGTAAGCTATTTAAAGCTATAAAAAATAAAAAAAAAATTAAAATAATAGAAAATATCTTATTTTTAAATATAAAAAAAATAACTAAATCTATATCAAATTACTATATTAAATATATTTAAAAATTAATACTAAAATATATAATTAAAATAAAAAATCTTTATAAATAAGCTGAAATTTTATTAAAAAACTATTAGATTAATCCGGCTAATTAGTACTATTTTTATAAAAAATAAATAATAAAAAACCAGAACTATTTTATTTTTTAAATATAGAAATTCTAAAAAAAGGTCTTATTATTCTATATAATATATATCTTATAGTAAATCTTTTTAAAGAATATTTATTTAGTTTTAGTTTATAAAAAAAACCTATTATTTTTAGATATTAAATAAAGTATAGTTGGATTATTTCTAATAAAATAATAGTCTATAATAAAAAAGTAATAAAAAATTAGATTAAACTAATAAATTAGCTTATAAATTTATAAAAAATTAATAAAAATATATATAATAATTTTAGACTTACTAATATTAATTAATTTATATTTATAATAATAAACCAGCTCGACTGCTTTAGAACTAATAATTAAAATTAAAATTAAATAATTAATTTAAATACAGAATATTAGATTTTAATCTAGATATTAATTAAAAATAATATAGTTAATAAAAAACTTCTAACTTTAGTTTAAAATCTATAAAAATTTAAAAGTATTTTTTAGTATATTAATTAAAGTCTAGTTTTTATTAGTCTAAAAAATCTATTAAAAAACTGTTAAAATATATTTAATAATAAATCTAGTTTTTATTAAAATATTATTTATATATTATAAATACTATAGTATTAAAGATATAGTTAGATATAAAACTTTTTATATTAATAATATTAAAATTCTTAATACTAGTTCTTAAGTAATATAAATAAAAAAAGATTTTAGATATAATAGATATATCGGCTAAATAATAATAAATAATTATTAATATTATATTAAAAAATAATAAAAATAAGAATTTTAAGAAAATAGATTAACAGATAAAATATAAAATAAATAATAAAAATAAATAATAAAAATAAAAATAAAATTAATAAGAAAAAAAAATATAGAAAAGAAAATTTGGTAAAAAATTAAAATATAAAAATAAATAAAAATATATTAATTTTTTTCTTTATATATATACTTTATATCGGATTTTAATCAGGTTATTAATAAAATATATATTTTATTTATTATTTTAGAATTTTTTATCTATAAAATATATAGTTTATTAAATAATTTTTTTATTATTATAGTACTAAATTCTACTATTTAAAGAATACTATTAATAGAAATATTTAATTAAAATAAATAATAAAACTATTTACAGTTATATTATTATACTAAATAATCCGGCTTAGCAGAGAAATATAATTATTATATAATATTTATTATTATAATAATTTATATCTATTATTATAGCAGCTGCTTCGGAATTAATATAGATTTATTAGAATTCTAATCCAAATATTTATATTATTATATTATTTACTTTTTTTTGTATAATATATTAATCTAAGATTTTTTAAAAAAGAAGATTTCTTAAGAATTAGTTTTAAAATTAATAAAAAACTGCTTTTAACTATCTTACTTGTTTTGCCTAACCAGCATGTCTACTACGTCAAGTAGTTCCTAATAATAGAACTTTTTTATAATTATATTAATAAAAAAAACATATTTTTAAAAAGTTATAATATTTAATAAAATTATATATCTATTTTTATTTTATTAAGACTTTATCTGAAGCCTTTGATAAGATATTTTATTTCTAGATTAATATAAATATTATTTTATAAATATAGAAAAACCTGAAAAAAAATCTTTATATATTTAAAAAGATAATCTACTGTTCTAATATCTTCTTCTTTAAGAATATTAATTTATATAAATTGGTATATATATTACTTTATAATTTAACTTTTTTAACACGGTTTCAGAGAGTGGTTTATAGAATATTAAAAATATATATTACTTCTTGTAATAATAAAATTTAATTATTTTTTAAAGTCTTAATAGCTAAGAGGATCTTGTCTTCTTGTTCTTTATATTTTTTTGACAATATAGCTATTTTGATGATTAATTTCGTTGATTAAAAGTCTTATATTTTGGTAAAATACGGAAATCACAAGTTAAGTATTCTACTTGCTTGCGCATTCCGCCCGCTTACCGATTATGTTATTTAAACTATTGACACATTGTTAATACGTCAGACTCTCCGACCGCGGGCGGTCTACCGAACGCCGAGTCTGGGGACACTGCAACTCAATACTTTCTTTTTTCCTTCCCCCCTCCCAACCTGAATCTATGACTCCTTTTCTCATTGTCTCCTGCACCCATTCGTGTGTTTGGTATCCCTTCCAATCCGAATATTCCAGGGAAGATATAGCCGACCTACAACGGAGAATGTATCATCTATGAAATCCTGGTCCTTTGGCAATTGTCTAGTACATGGTTTCTGCAGATGCTGCCTCGGAGCAATGAATCTATTTATCTAGAGTGATTATGCCTTTCTCTTCCAACTCACTATGATGCTAATTGAAGCACCGCTTCCCAGGATGCTCTTGGTATTTTCAAGGCATACTTCCCTCTATTATGCATTCCACGATTTTCCGAGTCCCGTCCCTCCGGACCAGATTCCCTGGCCAGCTCTCCTGGATGCGAAGCTTCTGCTTATCTTCGCAGCGACACGAGATCAAAGAGCTTGACACACTACCACAGCGAGTAATACCAGGATATCAAGGTGTGCGTCAATATAGTACGGTGTGCGTGCATTATCACTGACTCGGGATACTCAATTAGAATCGCAAGTAGGCGATCTCCTATCCCTGCAATGGCCGACGCCGCCACGCAACATCCTTGTTGTGAAAAAAAATTGTGTCCCAGCAGTAACAGAATCCCTTGTTGAATTTGCCAAGTACGATATCCGTCCTTCGGTTTTTTGTCGTGCAATTGAGAGGGAAGCTGATCCACACTAACCTCCGCGAGCATTCTAGTCATGCGACATCTACGTATCCTTCAATATCGATCATCCTTGAACCCAAAGTTGCCGAAGAGGTTCATGCATCGCTGCACGCCCCGGCTTACACGACGTCTCTGGATCGCCTTCGACCGGCACTACACAGTAAAGTAGATCTCACCGTTACCCTGGGAGGAGATGGAACTATCTTACATGCTTCATCGCTTTTCGCGACGTGCTACAATGTACCCCCAATGTTATCCTTCAGCATGGGCACGCTTGGGTTTCTCAGTGAATGGAAGTTTCCCGAGTATAAGCGCGCGTTTCGGGAGGTTTACATGTCTGGGGCGGGGGCAGGAGATCGTGCAACCGTGCTAGGCGACGTGCGGCCGACGACGCATGATGAGCCACTAGACCTAGACGTGGGCCCAACGGGCTGGTCATCGGTACGGGGCAAGTCGATGGGTCTGACGCGCGGAGCTCGGATTCTGATGCGCAACCGACTGAAGGTAGGGCTTTTCACAGCGGATGGACAGCCAGTTCGACAAGAAGCATCAGCGAATTCTGTGCCAGGCATCTGGGATCGTCGGGGACTGTATGTCATGAACGAAGTCCTGCTGCATCGTGGTAAGGAGCCGCATCTGGCAGTGGTAGATATCTACGTTGGTGGACGCTTCTTGACGGAAGCTGTAGCCGACGGGATCATCATCTCGACGCCAACCGGAAGCACAGCGTACAGCTTGAGTAGTGGTGGTAGTATCGTGCACCCTCTTGTCCCTGCTGTACTCCTGACCCCGATCTGCGCCCGAAGCTTGAGCTTCCGGCCATTGGTGCTGCCGTCGAGTACACCGATCACGCTCCGTCTGAGCGAGAAGAACCGCGGCCGCGAATTAGAGGTGAGCATTGATGGGGTGAACATGGGTCAAGGGATGACGGCGGGGATGGAAGCGCGGGTGTGGAATGAGGAGATGCGGCACGGCAAGAATGAATGGCAGGGGGGAGTGCCATGTGTAATGCGGAGGATCACCGGTGGGGAGGCGCATGATGGCTGGGTGGGTGGTCTCAACGGATTGCTGAAGTTCAATCATCCATTCGGTGAGGATCGCTAATGACTTTGCTCGATCATTCTGATCCGATGAACACAATCTGAAGAGATATATGGACATAATACAACCATATATTCCGGGAATTGCATTGCCGACGCGAAGTCTTATCACACGTAGTCAAAGAGCGTGGGCCGAGAACCGTAATTGGTTAAATGTAGGTACAAATTCATATAAATGAGCATTTCCTTGGGTTTGACCGAGGGGGGAAGCCGTGGGAAGCAGGGCGAGGTTTCTGTGGGCCGACACATCACATTGCAGGAGACTAAGAAAGGAACAGGTTGATTCTCCTTATCCCTATTCTTGTTTATCATGTACTGTACATACAACCTCTAGATAAGTGATGACTGACTGGACTGGAAAATAGATTGTTATTGAATCGATCACCTTTTTTCTTGTTCTGGACCTAATCTTCGCAGATCCTTTCTCTCTAGCCAGATACTATGTACTGTATACGAGTAAAAGATCAGGCAGGGTCTGATCAGGGTCCGATCAGGGTCTGGTTATTGATGCGAGCTCTCTTAAATATTATAAGTCGTTTGCAGTCACCTATTCCTACTTTCCATGTCTATATACATATATACCCATACACACACTAACATCCAAATGCGAAGACCCATCCACTTTGCCACTTGTGTCGCGTGTGGAATAATATCTAGATCCCTAGCTCCCGAGACGGGTTCGGTGTTTTATTTGTTGTTATTCTGGTACTGGGCACATAAGTTAGTTACTATATATGAGCACATCGGTTCGAATTAGGTTTGAGGTGAAACCACCAACAATCAAGGTTATTGAGTCAACATTGTCCTGCATGCAAGCAAGCCTTGCCTCTGGATAAGAACCTATCTTCTCTTGTATAGTATATATGTACATGTACACACAATAGAGGTACAGTACAATTGCTGACAAGCAGGGAGACTGCATCGACAAAGCAAAGCTAGCCAAAAACAGAAGCAATGAGTGAGAGCCTGAGGAGTCTAGATCATACTAAAGTAGGTTAATATAACGATACTTGCTGTCTAATGATAGACTGAAACAGTGGTTGAGAGGAGGAGGAGGAAGAGGAAGGAGAAGAAGAAGAAGAAGAAGAAGAAGCTCTCTCTCTCCCCACAATAATAAGTAGTAACAAGTAAGAAGTCAATAGTGAAACGACGACTAATCAATTCTTTCCTCTTCTCCCTTGGTGAACTCAATTCATTATTATTCTACGTACAGTAAGTACACTCTACCTACTGTACAGACAGTAAGTACTGTACGTACTTGTTGCTCTCTCTCCGCTTGTCTCCCCTTTCCTCCCCTCTGTCGCACCCTCTCTCCTTGTTCTTCGTTCTTCTCTTCCCTCCTTCCCTTCCTCCTCCTCCCACTCCTCCTCCTCTTCTTCTCTTCTTTATACCTGGTCACTTCTTAACCTTAGCCTGTGTCATTTGACGTGTCTTTCTTTTCTTCTCTCTTCCTTCGCTTTTCCCTCTCCATCCCTCCATCCATTGCCATACAGCCGTGTCTTGCCTGCATCTTGTCCATCGCCGGTGCTCACCCCGCTTGGACTTCGGGGCAGCGACCTCGAGACGTGCCCTTCACGCTCGGTGAGGTTTTCTCAAGGACTTCTTTAAGAGAACAGGTAATCCAGCATAACTCCCCTCCTTTAAAGAGAGTTGGCCATCTCCTTCCATTTCTCCTTTGATTCCCCGTATGTATCGGTCTTCGTCTTCACTAATCTCCTTGCCCCCCTTTTCACATCTTTCAACTACTTCTCCGACATACCTACCCCACGATGTGCTAGCCGTACCCGCGGGTAGTTATTGATGCTATGCGCATGCGTTTTCACCTTCTTTCCTCGTCTCCTCCGCCACCTCTCATTGCCCCTGCATTTGCGATTGTGGAATCCGTTGGTGTTATGCGAGCTTCCTGACAAACCCTGCAGGGAATCGCATCGCAGCCCCCATTTGGCTTGGTCGGACTACTTCTTACCCCCTGCGCTGTTCGCGTGAAGCCCACACCATACACCCCTGACGCCTTCGCCCCTTCCCCCCAAAACTAAAAAAATTTTAATAGTATATAATAGTTCTTTAAAATATTAATACTAATACTTAAATAAATAAATAATAAAAAAAAAAAAATTTAAATTTTAATAAATATTAATAAGCAAGCAGTTCTAATCTACTTATCTTATTAATATCAATATTATTTTTAAATAAGTTTTTAATTGTCTTTCTATCTCTAAAAATAATATTTAAAATAATTCTTAGTATAATATTTCTTTTAGTAATAGTAGTCTTCCGTCTGGTAATATAGCTAAAATTGTTTACTAATATTCTTAAATTGAATATCCGAATATTATCTATTATATTATTTAATTTATGGAATTAAAACCCGAAATTATCGGTTTTTTATTTTTATATAGTAGATAATAAAGTAAAAAAAATTAGTTCAGATGTATACTATAAGAATATTTCTATTTTTTAAATTATTTTAGAAATATAGTTAAGTATTATAAAAAATTTGTTGGAGTTTCGGTTCTTTCAGATAAGGTTTAGTTAACCTTTACTTTTCCATAGAAATTATATATAAAAGTAAGGTGAAAATAACATTAAAATAAAAGATTATAAAATCGAAAAAATCAAAGATTAGATAAATAAGAAAATAAACAGAATGGCGAATTTAATATAAAATTATCTAACTCTTAAAACTAATTAAACTTATTTAAAAAAATAATAAAAGATATTAGACTATTTAAGCTAAATTCTTTGTTTACTAATTTTCTAAATAGAAATCTAGAAATATTTGATAGATATAAAAATAAAAATATAGAGATAGAGATAAATAAAATAGATAAGAATAAAAACTTTTATTTAAATAACTAAATTAAAAAAACTAAGACTTAAAACTTTTATATTTTAATAATTTTCTAGTCTAATATACTTCTATAGTTTTAAAAGAATTGAATAGTTTCTATTAAGACTAGAGTAAACAGACTCGTAAATAAAAAATAAATAAAATATTAAAATAAAAAAGAAGTATATAATTAAATAATTGAATTCTTATTATATTAAATTAGTAGATAAACTGCTAGTATTTTTAATTATTAAATTATTTAATTAAACTATCTATTTTTTTTATTAGTTAAAATTTAGTAAACATTAATAATCTTATTTAAAGCTTTTTATTTAAGCTAGTAATTAGCTATATTAATATATTTTAGACTAGTTTAAAAAGAATACAACTGGTTAGTATTTAAACTATTTAGATATTATTATATAATATCAAAACTAATATTTAAAATCAAATTTTATTTATATAAAGAATTTTTTTTATTAAACAATTTATTTAGCTGAGATAGTTAGGACTCATAATTTAATTTTAATAATTAAACGAAATGAATATATAATAATATTTTTATTTAATTAATTATCAATCTATTAAATACAAAATAATATATTTTATTAAACTAGTATGATCTAAATTATTACTAAAACTAGTGTTACTAACTATATAAAAAACTATTTATTTAGAATTAAAACTATATTTATTAATCAGATTATTTATTTATTTAAATAAAAGATCAGCAAATCTATTATTTTGAAATATTTAGAATTTAAATTGTTTAGATATTTTACAAACACCTCATATAATGTATTTGTTTTTCAATCCGAATAGTAGTCTTATATAGATTTTTTTAATATAATTATTTAGAAAGATAATAACTATATCTAACTAGTATATCTTCAGATTAAACATAATAATTAAAACTAAAATAACTTTTAAAAATCTACCTATAAGTATATTAATATATATTTCTAATTAATCAGATATTTATAAATTATTTTATATATATATATACTTTAGAACTAGTTAGATAATCTTTTTTATTAAATTTATAGATTTATATTTATTTTAGTTAAAGAAACTTTTACTTTGAATATTATATACTAAATATATAATTTAAATACTTAAAATATCCAATCTGCTTTCGTAGAATAATTTATAAAATATTTAAAGAGATATTCATTAGTTAGGTTTATGAAGAAACTATTTTATAATTTTATAATAAACTGTTTTTAAAACTATTTCTATAAATTAAATATTATACTTTATCAACAGATATTCTATTTTATTATTTTTAAAAAGAATTATTGTTTTTAAAAATAGTATTTTTCGAGTATGTAAATAAATATATAAATACTTTATAGTTTTATTATTTTATATTTTTTATTTTAACTAATATTTTTTAGTTTTTGATAATAATTATAGTCAGACTTTTCTATTAAATAATAAATTATATAAGTATTTTTTTCTATAATATAATAGATATTATATTTATCATTTTTTTATATAATTAATATAACTTCTGTTATTAAGTCCGACTGTTTTGAAAAGAAATATTCAATATTTAGAATATTTCTATATCTATAGTAATCCGCAACTATATTTACTAGCTTAAATAATTTTTATTTATATATTTTAATCTATTTTAATACAGACTGCTTATTAACTATAATTAATATTAAGCTTAGCAGATTTATTTTTAATATTATAATTAAATTTATTAAAATATTTTTAAAAGTTATTAATATTAGTTTTATATACTAAGTTAAAGAGTTCATTATTTTAAAAATCTATTTTTTATATAAAGTTAAGAATAATACTTCTTTACCTAATTATATTCTAGCTATTATTTTTTTATTTATTTATATTATTATTATTAAAGTATATTTAGTTAAGAACTTATATCCGAATCTGTTCATTAAAACTAATGTAATAAATTAAAAGAATATGATTATCAATTATAAGAGTTATACTATTTTTATTTATAATTATAAGAATTTTATATTTTTTACTTAAATAATAATAAAATCTGATTACATTAATATTCCGGTATATACTGTTTGATTTATTATTATTGTATTAAATTTAAAAGTATATATTTTAGTGAAGAAATATATATATTAATTTTTATAGATACTAACTATATTTTTGAACCAAAGAATAGTACTAGTATATTATTATATATTTATTTAGGTAATATTAATTTTTTTATCAAAGGTGTTAATAATATTAGTAAGTCTGTTATTTTAAATAGATATATTTATATTAATATTT